TCTCTTTCAGCAAAATTTATATATAGTAATGAGATAACATTTAAAAACAAAACAAACAAAATATGTCAAATTTTTTCGTTTTTTGGGTTCTCTGTGGTAAGATAGGAGGAAGTGTGTCTGTACATTTTTATATGCCTGTCATCTGTAAATAGGGAACTGTAGAGTAGTTGAATGGTGACTCAGATTCTTCACATCCTCCTGCATCCCTCACACAGCCTGTTTGTGTCCACACTTGCTTGCTGAAGAGGAAGTTTCCTCCTCCTCCTCTCTCTGTGTTCATCTCTCTTTCATTGTTCATGGTGTCCTCACCTCAACCGCGGATGGGTTCTCCCTCACTTCACCTCAAATAGATTTGTCTGAATCTCTGTAGACAAAGACACTTTTAAACTATTAAAGGAAAGAAAATAGAAGAAAATTGTTCAATGGTTTTAGCCTGGAGCTATTTTGGTATATTGTGAAGGTCTTTACTAACCTCCCCACAGTGTACAGTTCAATTAAATCTTTCAGGAAATTAAATTGACATGTAAGTAAACTACAGACAAACATCTTTGTGAAAACTGAGGCTTTTGACTGTGTTTTGTTTTCATATAGAAGAGAGGTTTATGTAAAACCAGAGCAACTGTAGATGATATTTAATTTTTTCTCCCCTTGACGTGCATTTATGAATATGCATTGGGTTTCATGTAATGTCTGTTGCAGTGGTTAGGATTTCTCATGCCATCAGCCAAAACGTGCTTGTGATGTCAGCCTTGTGAGACATCCCGTTCCCCCTCTGTCCACCTTCCACACCTGTCAGTCCTATATTTCACTAGTCCTTTCTACCGTGTGTGTTATAGAACAGAAACAAAAAAGAAACTTTTAAAAAGATTGACCCTGTAAAATCATGTAAGACTATTATTTTGTATATGTTTCTCTCCTTTTGTTTTGTAAAGGGTTTTTGTTTAACTTCTTTGATGGTAACTGCAGCACTTTCTGTACATTGACCAATAAAGACTTTCCTTAGAATGAGTGAAAGTGTCTCTTTCCCATTCAAATGCTAATTATTCTACTTCTGTGTACAGCTTGAGGACAACTGCAGTTGGGTTATTTTGATTAGGTTAAAAAATAACTAAAACTGAAGTGATATAAACCTTGAGTGGGGCATTGCAATAAAGGTTCACATGCAATATCAAAATATTTTATTTGTAACATCAGAAAACTGTCTGTCAAATGCAGGCTGTATAAAGTATATTTATTATTTTCTAAAACACATTTAAAAAATATATATATATGTATGAAGAGTTCATTTGCAAAAACAGATAACTCTTTTGTTAACTCTAATTGTTAACATTTTTAACAATTCTGAGGAATCATGCTTTTTCATTGTGCATTTCAATTAATCTCAATCAAATTGCAGTTGGGTTATTTTGATTAGGTTAAAAAATAACTAAAAATTACAGCTAACTAACACAATAAAACATGATTACATAATAAAAAACATGATTTATGAAAATTTTGCAAAACGGAGTTATCGGTTTATGCAAATAAACTCTTCATATATATATATATATATATAGGCTTTATATAAATCGACTCGAGGCTATGAAAAAGCATCCTGATCCACCGCTTAGCATAAGCTTCTCTGGCCAAGCTACTCTGACGTGTAACAAGTGACATGTGACATGTGGCCAGGTATGGTGACCCATACTCGGAATTTGACATTTGACAAGCTGGCGGTCTCCGCACCAAGAAGTGAAAAGATTCCACGTGCCTTCGGGCAGTCCTTATATCGAGTCCTGATACGTGAGTTTGAACGAGAATGCACGCGTTGGCGGTAATGCATAGACGGACATTATGTGAAAATGTGGACAGTGGCAAAATAAAGGTGCCTATTTATACTACAGATATCGAAATTTTACGTGTGGCATCGATGCATCGTATCGTCAGACATCGTATTGATGTATCGATATATATCGATGAATCGTTACACCATTAATATATATATATATATATATTATATATATATATATATTTATTTATTTGTTTAATTAGAACCTATACTTTAAGTGGTGTATGTTATTTGTTCACAGGTGAAGACTTATAAGAAGAGACGGTATATCCAGTCATTATGTTTGAAGGCTACGTCATCGAATGACTTGTAAAGTTTGTTGATTTACTTTCTCTAAATCTCTCTGCACAGACCTTTTTCTACATACGAATTACTCAACCACCAAGCATGACATTTGAGAATCTAACGTGTCCGTTTCTTTTATTAAGGAAACGTACAAGAAAAAAGGACAATAACAAATGTTAAATTCTGTGTGTAAAATGTATATACAGTAGGGATAGTTAGAGAATATTTAAAATGGTCAGAGGAACGCAAATTACAAATAAAAATGGGCTATTGTACACCAAAATGACACTGTATATCATTTTGACAAATATCCACACTGGGTTGTGCTAATCATGTCATTGACTAATATTGTTCAGTAAAAATGTGAAGGACACTGGCTAATGACAAAAATTAAGCATATTGTAAGAATCAATTGTTCCAGAGAAAGTGAAGAAATAGACTCCTTTAACAGGTGCTGTGAAGATTCCTGTAACATACACAACAAATAACAATAACGTTTTATAATGCTCATATAATTACACCGTTTGTTTTGATAAAATGAAGTTTTCAGAGTGTGATATAAAACATTGATACAGACTCAATATAAAGCACACATACCAGTGGATGGATTGTAAGATCTTCCTTCATTCACAAAGACATCTTTGTAAACAAGAGTTATCTCAATGTTAAAAGGTTCGAGGTTACCAATGGGTCCAAGTGTGGCAGCAAACGCCACCTTATATTCTATTAAAAAAAAATAATGCAAAGTACTGTATAATATTACAATTAGATACCCATTATATTTCAAATCTTTCCATTGGTTATGCAGCAGTATACTCTGTTTAAAGATGTTTATGCCGACGGTAAACGATAAACTGATTAAGCATGTGTTCTGAAATTACTTGGCATTCATCTGCCATACTTATGATCAACAGTGGGGCGGTGTAATGGTGGTGAATAATAATAATAATAACAGATGTAACTAATTTTTTTTATCTATCTAGTCAATTTTATGCGCTCATTTTTTTTCTTTTTCATTTTGTGAAATGAGAACAAACGGGAAAGTACCTTTTCTCTTGAGCTGCTCCAGCTGTTCCTCAGTGACCTGCGGTCTGTTCTTTAGAGAACTCGCAGTGGACCTCAGCTCTGCCAGCTCAGAGTGGATCCCTGAGAGAACGTGTTGCTCAAACTCACTAGAGGCCAAAAGAGCGCCTCTTTCCTCTACATTCAAATGCTCAGTCCCCTCAGCCTGCACTTCGTTCTCTTGCTGCGGGACCTCAGACATAGAGGCAGAGCTGAACAGAAGAAGCAGCAGCAGATACAGAATGGTGCGAGACATCTTTACCTTAAGGTTCTGCAGTCACGACACACCACTTGAAAACTTTCCTACACTTTTCCTAAACTGGCTACTTCCTGCAGCTCCCGTGGTGGGTTGATGTTTAACTCATGACACATTTTGTGAGGAAATAAAGGAAATATTTGTCTGTAGGCCTATTGCAGATAATCACGTGTAAAACGTGGTTCATCTATTAGCAAAACAGTTTATGTTCATAGGGAATATGTATATAAACTATGTTCTGCCGATGGATCAACATATCTGTTCATCTACATGACTTACAGAAGATAGGCTATATGCAATATACTGTATGCCTTTTATTAAACAAAAAGAGATCAAAAGAAATCAATCTAGTTATTAGGTAAAACGTGTCACGTGCAAAAAAATAACGAAAGTACAAAGATAATCAGAATGATTTACAGTAGTACAAACAAGTGGAAGTTAATATCTAAAGCCAATGTTTGACTATACAGAATAAGCTGTGAGTGACACCATTTGTTACTTTTATTTTGCCACATTGTAACGAGGTTTTAGCTTCTTATGGAACTCTTTAAATAAAATAGGTGCTGTCACACCAACCGGCTGGAGTGCCCTATGATCTCCACCAGAGGGCACTCCTTCCGAATGCGACTTGTGACAAATCGATAGTACTAACATATTTTAAGATATGTCAGTGCAAGTTTCTTATACAGTTAAAACAGAACAGACATGCATTTTTGTGTAGGACTAGGCTTAAGCCTGGTCTGTGAAACCGGGGGAAAATGTTTTTAAACTTAAAACTTTTTTTTGCCCCATTTGCATTTATATAGTTTTACTACTTAAACAGTTATTTTAAGTATATATCATTATATAATTTACAATATACAGCGTGGTTTGTAATTATATTTTTAGGGAGGAGGGGTAATGATATTACGCAGCGCCTAAAAATAGTCCCCAGCTAGGTAACTTCCAATAAGCATATTTTCAGTGTAAAGTTTTTTTTTTTTTTAATTCATTTTAGTCTCGTCTTATTTCGTCAACGAAATTGCATGTTGATATAGAGTCATAGTTATCGTTTATTGACCTTATTATCGTCTCGTCTTCATCATGGGAAAAAAGCTCGTCAACGAACATTTTTCGTCATAGTCTTCGTTAACTAAATTAACGCTAGGACAACCGACCAAATTCAGTATGGGAGTATACACAAGATACATGCAAGTTTCTCCTTATGGAATTAGTAAAGTAGCTCTGTCTGACGATGAAAAGGATCATTTCAAATGATTTAAAAAGACAAACTGATTTAATACAAAGATGTAGGTTTATTATTTAAAGGCACGTAAAGCCTCATGGGATAGTAAAGAGTTCATCAGATGCACCCTCAAAATCTTGTTGGAAGTAGTAAGTCATCTGGATACTTTTTGCCTTCTGTTATGTGAATACTGTGAATTCAAACATACTACTCTTTTCACATAGCCTACTGTTTTTCACCTGCTATATAGTAGGAAAGTATGTGATTTCAGATGCAGCAGATCTCTATTGCCTCATTAATCTGCTGCGCTGCAGTAACCAGACAAGGCTCCAGACATTGCCTTTGATATGCTTTATTCATGGCCGGGAGTATCTCACACAAATCACAGAGAAAACCCACCAGCAAAAATATTACAACAGTTTATATAGGATAAGTACATGAACAAAGAGCACTGTAGCATTATATGATTAGGCCTATATAATTTTTTCTCTAATATAACTATTTAGAAATTCCCCACCTCTATCACTAGGCAGAAGTGAAGAAGAGGCAGAAGGTAGGCAGAAGATTTTGAAATTTGATTAGCTCAGCTTGTTGCTCAAGTTAAAAAGAGTTAAATATTACATATTCATACAGAAGTCTAGTACTTGTTCCTTCTATCTACATCACTACCACACTAACTTTCACCAGGCCTACATCTTAAATTCATAAAAAAGGTATTTTTTATGCATATGAAAACATACCAGAATAAAATATTAGTCTTGCAAGCAAAAATACATGTTAGTTTTGACTTTGTGCTTCATGAATTTAGTAAGATTGTCAAAGAGGGAAAAGTAAATGCCCAACAAATGAATTGTGGTGACTGTAATTATCAAAGACCCATGAAGTCTCACGGAGACGCACATAGACACGATCTCCTTTCTCTAGAGTCAAAGAGACTGAATTAGCTGTTGATTCATAGTGGTCACCTAGAGGATGATTGAAAACAATTACCATCTGTTCTCCATTTTTAAAGAGTCCTAAATTCAGAACTTTAGATGAGCAGTTATGTCCAGAGAAACTGAAGAAATAGGCCCCTTTTACAGGTGCTGTGAAGATACCTGTAATAGTACAACAACAATTAACAGTGGTTTTTATTTAATTATGCTGTTTATTTTGACAAAATGTAGTTTTCAGTGTGAAACATTGGTTCAGTATAAGAACACACACCAGTGTTTGGGTTGTAAGCGCTTCCCTCATTCACATAGACATTATTGTAAACCAGGGTGACTGGAGAGTTGAAGGGTCCAAAGTTACCCGTTGATCCAAGTGTGGCACCAAATGCCACTTTAAATTTTGTGTGAATCAGATCATGTTTTGTTAAAAAATAACCATACACAATAATCACACAAACCTTTGTATTGTATATTATATGCTTATAATTTCTTGCTTCTGCTGGCTAGTTAATGTTATGCTAAAGCATGGTTTCTGAATACACTTGGCACTTTTGTCAACAGCCTATAAATGTTTCACTTATTTCTATTGCAGGACGGAATGCTTCTTGAGGTGTTAGCACTACTACTAATGGACTGAAAAATTAATTTTCCTCTGATATTTATTTACATTTAAAACTCTTAACTGTTTGGAATATATAAGCTGACAGAAATGATGAGAACAGGCAGAAAGATGTTACCGTTTCTCCTGAGCTGTTTCAGCTGTTCCTCAGTGACCTGCAGTTTGGTCTTCAGAGAACTCACAGTAGATTTCAGCTCTGCCAGCTCAGACTGGATCCCTGTGAGAATGTGTGTCTGAAACTCACCAGGAGTTGAAACAGCACGTCTTTTTTTCACATTCAAATGCTCAGTCCCCTCAGCCCGCACTTAGTTCCCTTCCTGCTGGACCTCAGCAATACAGTCGCAGCTGAACAGGAGAAGCAGCAGCGAATACAGAATGTTGCGGGGCATCTTTACCTTAAGGTTTTGATCTTTAACACTTATGCTGAGCTATATTAAACAGGAGGATACTAGTGCAGCTGGCCCCAATATAAAATGCTCTGCCCCTGTATCTGCCTGATACGTTATTTATCATGCATCTTTGGTAGCAAATGTTGCAACAGCACTGTAAATGTTGTGCAAGTCTATTCACAACCATATCAGATTCATGCAACAAGCACTATTCTCTCCACCCAGTGTTTTATATTTTTTTAAAGTATTGCACAAATTGTGCTCGATTTTCATAAGTCAAAGCATTGTTATATTTATTCAAGGGCTCTTTACCAAATAAAGTGTTGTTAAAATGTTGTTACAATAACCTAATATTATTGCTAGAAAGCCAATGCACTTGGTAATTGTGATTTTTTTTAAATATACTATTTTATTTAATAATTAAAATCCCTTTGTCCTAATAAAAAAAAAAAGTGGGTTACTCAGTAAATATTTAACCTTTTTATTTTGGTGTTCGTCATTATTTATGTTTGACTTCAAAAATACAAAACAAAAAATAAACAACATCAAAATTTTAAGCCAGGGAAGTATGATTTTGGTCTGACCTCAACAGTACTTGTGATTGACCCCTTGCAAAAGAGCGAACATTGTTTGTGAAATACGCTTGTGCGCTTACAAAAGAGTATTTCACAAACAATGCTCACTCTTTTGCAAGGGGTCAATTGCAGGCACAGCTGAGGTCATAAGTTTTTACTTAGGCCTAAACCTGCAAACTATTAATTATTAAAAAATATTGCACAAACAATGCTCACCCCAATGCTCTTTCACAAATAAAGTGTTGATATCCTATTTCAAAGTGTTTGAGACCCGTACTATTGAATCATCAATATCCGAAAAGCCACTGGAACAGATGAAATCTCGGTTTGTGTTCTAAAAATCTGCAATGACCAACTAGCATGAACACTGGTATTCTATCCAAACTAATACAGAAACTGCTAAATCTAGGACTTGCAACTGGATACTGGATTTTCTCACTAGCAGAGCCCAGCATGTGTGGATAGGCAAGAAAACACTTCTCTGATCCTCAAGACTGGCACTTCATGGGGCAGCGTTGCTAGCCCATTACTGTATACCCTGTTCACCAATGACTGTGTAGCCAGATTCAGCTTTAATTCCATTTTAAATTAATGTAAGTCAACATTTTACTAATAAACATCAATTTCTTTGTAAAAAATAAAATAATGACGCTGCACATCCTTCTAAAAACTAAAATAATAAATAAAAAATTGGTTGATTTGACACAAAATGGCCCTATTGCATGACAATGCTCGCATTTGGTATTGCACAAACAAAAATATTTTTCAAAAATATGAGGAATCTTTTTTTTTTTATTTAGTACTGGCCTGAATGAACTATTTCATATAACAAATAAGAAGTGTATATATACACACAGTAAAAAACACACCTTTGCAAATATTGTGTGCTGCTTTTGCTTTGATGCTAAAATATTATATCCTATTGTTATATGCAAAAAAGGTGAATGTGAAGTGATGTTTGGCCAAGCATGGTGACCCATACTCGAAATTTGTGCTCTGCATTTAACCCATCCAAGTGCACACACACAGTAGTGAAAACACACACACACCCGGAGCAGTGGGCAGCCATATTTCTGCAGTGCCCGGGGAGCAATTGGGGGTTTGGTGCCTTGCTCAAGGGTCACCTCAGTCCTGGTTATTCACTCCCCCCACCAACAATCCCGGACCTGAGACTCAAACCCACAACCTTCGGTTTACAAGTCTGACTCTCTAACTCTCTAAGATGTATTTAAAGCTCATACTTTCTATAAGAATGTTTTTGTGATTGTTTTGTTTATTTACTTTTTTTATTCACAGACTAAATGCTCTATACGTCTTACATCCTGCATTTATTTTAGTTTCAATGAAGAAATTAATGTATTTATCAGAATACTATAAGTATTTTTTCTGTTCTGTTCTTTCCTCTTTTTTTTTACTGGAAAAATAGCACATGTTGGTTTTCTAATCCATTAAACTTTTCCCAAAGCCTTAAACATAAGATTGACTGATATTGTATATAACATCACTTGTAATGACTAACTTCAGCTGGAAGAAGGCAGCGTTCAACTTTGTTGTAACCACCATAGGCAGTCGATTTAGAAAGGGTGTGTTGACTCTTGTATGCCTCTAGAGGTCTCCAAATACCCTATTAAGATGAAACCCTTAAACCACTGTAGAAAACTCGGCTCACAAAGCAGGATCTCTTTAGTCCAGGGGCGTTCAAACTCGGACCTGGGTGCCACTGTTCTGTAGAGTTTGACTCCAACTTGTCTCAGTACACCTGGCTGGAAGTTTCTAGTATGCCTAGTAAGACCTTGATTAGCTGATTTTCAGGTGTATACAAAGTGTAAGTGGGGTTGGAGCTGAACTCTGCAGGACAGTGGCCCTCAAGGAGCAGGAATGGACACCCCTGCTTTGGTCTAACATTGCACCTGAAAAAAAAAATCATGGTGACAGAATAAATCATGATACAGTTATTTTGGCTGGAAAGTGCAGTTAACATTAATTGCACAATGCGGTGAATTAAAGGGATAGTTCACCCAAAAATGAAAATTTGATGTTTATCTGCTTACCCCCAGGGCATCCAAGATGACTTTGTTTCTTCAGTAGAACACATATGATGATTTTTAACTCCAGCCGTTGCAGTCTATCAGTTGTATAATGCATGGCAAAGGTAACAAAATCTATGAGAGTAAAAGAAACATGCACAGACAAATCCAAATGAAACCCTGCAGCTCGTGACGACACATTGATGTCCTAAAAAAGTTCTTTCTTTCTTTCTTTCTTTATTTGGAAACTAGATGGATGCAACAAAAAGATAAAATTTTAGGCAAGCTTTAATTTTCAACTTGCTATTTATTTTATATAATTTTTTTTAAATTAAATTAATTTATTTATTTATTGAAAAGTGCCATGGATATACCGCATCATAAACACATATGCATTACAGCACAGTATAAATTGGGAATGAGAGACAAAACTGAGTGACAAAGCAAACAACTCGGCACGTCCAAGTTCTGCAGCAATCCACATGAGTCAGAACTGGAAATAATATGCCTGCATCAGATCATATTGGAAGAAAGGCACTTTGTGCTAATGACGGCATGTAATGTTAAAGCATAGCTCTTGTGTCTTAATCCATGATGAGGAAGAAAGAGAGTGGTATAGCCTACCATAGGGCTTGCAATGTCACGTTTTTTGCAGCATGCCAGTCCTGCTACTCTCCTGACCAAAGTCCAATCTGTCACGTTGTCTCAAGCCTCCAGGGTACTGCCAGTCGTTTACAGCTCACAATTTATTACACTATTAACTTTTATTACCATTCCAGCACCACCGTCCACCTCTTCATACAACGAAGCAAGGCCACCAGAGTCTGAATCATAAAAACGAGACCTTTTACAGTGCGCATGTGCATTATGCATGTGTTTCGGTGTTCACTCTTGACATATGCATCAAGTCCCATTATTGGTGATATACGCTGTGAAACCTTACACTTCAAAGCTAAAAATAAGCGAGGCTTTTTGAAGCTTTGAATCAAATGAACCGATCGCTTTGTAAAACATATCACTGTTTGAAGCGTTTGAAACCTCAGTGCGCTCTGAATCCGATTGAATACCATTTAAAGCCATGTAAATGCAATGAGAATTGCAGCAAAATTATTTTTCAATGTCATGTTCTACATAAAAAAAGTATTTTCATTAAAGTGTGAAACCACTGACTTGATCAATTTGCGCTCCCAAGCACTGATTCGAAACAAAAGATTTGAAGCGCCCATCACTACTTTTTGGTATAGGCTGTTTTCTTGTTCACAAAGTAAAATGTTTTTGAATGCATTTTCTACGCATGCGCATATGTGCTCACCCAGATTGTTTGGTAGGTTAGACCTCATTTTCTCCTGGCTGTGCGAGCTAATTAACCTAATTTGAGCAGCACCAGCACAGACACAGATGAACCCAAGGGCCTGCTTTGGGTTTTTCAAATTAAGAGGGCTTCACTTTTCTCTGTCTGCATGGAGTCATTAGGGGAAGGGTTTGTGGGAAAAAAATTAATTGAACAGCGAGCAAGTAATATCAAAGCACATCCCTTATTCATTTGAATCTCGGTGAACACGACAAATTGAATCTGCTGCACAAGCTTAAAATTAATAATTTTCCAATTCTTTAACTGTTGAGGTCCAATCTGCTGCTGAATAATGACACACGGGCTAGTTTAACATGAGCACTCATTAGCAAATGGCAAAAATCATTAAAGCAAAGCCATGATAACCTGTCATGTGTAATAGGGAATCATTTGGTGAGGTGACATGGAAGATTATGCCTGATGTATTTTTATATCGTGGCTAGAATGTTTTAATTCATCGGATTTCATAAAGAGAAAGGAGGTGTAGATGGAGGGGGTTCTCCTCTTCACCCCAGTTGTCCATTGTGCCATATCGCAGATGTCAGAAAACCACCAGACACCCCCCATCAATCTATTTTTTATGCTGTGCCTCCCTGTTTCCATGGCAATCACTATTTCCTTTAATTGTTTTTCTTTTAATTATTTTTATTTACTCCATTTATTTGTGGGCAGGGTACTTAGTTTTCTTAGTAGTTCTTCACAAAGGAACGAATCAGGGTTTTGGTTCTTGTTACATTTTATAAGCAAGCATGGGTTGGGGTTATCTACTGCTACACAAAAACACAATTCCCATATGTTTTATGAGCAAGTTAAGCATTAGGATTATTAATAATATATTTTTTTAAATGTCCTTTATTATAAACATGCACTTTTAAACTTCCTTTTTAAAAGCTTCCTCTGAGAAAATGTACATATTTTTTTTGTTTTATTCCTTATTTAAAGGGGTCATATGATGCGATTTCAATTTTTCCTTTCTCTTTGGAGTGTTACAAGCTCTTGGTGCATAAAGAAGATCTGTAAAGTTGGAAAACTAAAGTCTCAAATCCAAAAAGATATTCTTTATAAAAGTTAAGAGTCAGCCACACCTACCTAAAACGGCTCGTTCTAACACGCCCCCACATGTCTACGTCACGATGTGGGAAGATTTGCATAACGCCGCCCAAATGTTCACACAAAGAAAGGCGGCGTAACTTTTATTCTCGCTGTAGTATTGTTGTCGCTGGCGCCATGTAGTGAAGGCGCTGTGTGTTTCGTTGTGAAAGCGAAACTACTTTGTTTGGCCTTCCAAAAGAGGACGATATCGCTTCGTCATGCCTGGAGCTGATCCGTGCTGGCTGCTGAGGAAATAC